AACAGCGTTGACGGTGTACTCCGAAGTAAATTCACAACGTGAGGGAGGGAAGGAGGATGTCTATCAATTTCGCATTGAGTAATTCAGCTTTGCCATCCTGGTTAGGCTATTCGCATCCCAAGCTCACAGATCAGCGACTGGGCGGTGCACTAACCGGGAAGTGCCCCTTAGCTGATATATCAGGGCCAGTTAGTTGCTCAGCCTTGCTGCATATGCGAGCTCTCGACAGCCTCTGCTGCAACCCATTCCCGCTCTCACCAGACCGCGCCGCCCCCGCGCTCGCATCCGTACCGCATTTCTCTTGTGGCTGCTGCCGTGTTGCAACGTACCCCACCTGCTTTGCTCATCCTTGGGAGCATATACGAAGTGTGCGCCCCCAGGTTCGATACTACGTTCTGTGTCCACGCCTTGGAATATAGCCATGGTAACCCTGCACGCTGACAACCTGCACCGAGTGCTGGGGTTGGCGTGACGGCCCCCGAGCAGGAGGCTAGAGTAAAAGTGGGTTCCCCACCACCCGACCGCGAATGGAGCTCTCGGAATCCGCGCTAAAACAAACGGCTGGTACCCCAACATGCTTGCCTCGTGTTACCATGACCTGCTCTTTCTGTTGCGACAAATTTGGCTTGACATTCCGGGGTGAGTGTGCATGTGGGAAGTCTGGTGTAACAGTCTCATATACGAGTGCAGTGGTGGTCATGGTTGTCGTGAGGAATGCAGCGACGACTTGGAAGGGTGGCGCTTCGGAGGTTTTGGTGGATCCGCGAACGCGTGGCGCCGTCCTTCTTCCTTCGGAGCTGCGAGCCTGTGCGGGCTGATGCATGAGGCACAGCAATCGGCTGTCGACATGTCTTATCACTCAATCTGCGTTGTTGGTGCGTGGAGACAATGTGGTCACTTGTCTAAGCCTGTAGTCATGGGCTGTTTCAGTGTACCAATCATGACGCTTTTATTTCTAGCAATCAAATAAGCTTCAGCTTGCGCCCTGATGCGACAGCCACGGCTGGCGGCACTGCTACCGTCTCCTCCAAGATGACGCTACCATACCTATCCGCCATACCATTGCATAACTGTGCACCGTTTGCTCACCAGTTTCAGATTTTCCTCGGCATAGGCTGGCGAACACTACAATCGGGCCGTACGCGAGAGCCAAATGTAAGACAACATGCAGGTACACGGGTTTGCTGATGTTGATGGCTGGCTATTTCTCATGTGAAGGTGCACCAGGAGCAGGAGTAGAACCAGAACCAGACGCAGGCGCAGACGCAGCCTCACCTACCGGCGCAACACTACCAGACCCAGTCACAACCTCGTGATGAAGCTCGCTTTTGATCTTAGTCCAGTCCGGTGCTGCCACACTGAGCAACTTGCAAACGTCCTTCCGCCTCTTTCTGAAATCCTCATATAAGCCCTTCCATATCCGTCTCTCAGCGCAGGTTCCCTCGGGGCTGCCCCCACAATCGGGCTGCATCTCCTCTAACGCCTGTTCTGACCACATGACTGATGGGGGAGGCAGCGGCAGGTCGCTGAACTGGATGATCTTCCCCTCCTTGTAGACCTTCTCAGCGTCCCATGGCTCATCAGCGCTGCCCAGATACTCGGAATGATTGTGGCGCCTGAACTCTGCCGTACGAAGGGCGTAAGGTCGATGTGGAAGTACTAGCGCGCTCTCCTCAAAGCGTTCGTTGAGGATCTCCATGTCATATCTGTGCATTTCGACCAACATGCTATCACCACCCCCTTCCATGCGGTTCTTGAACTTCGCAAGCTCGTCGAGGCTAGGCTTGACTACCATGAGCGTCGTCGACAATGGCCACGGTTTGCTATCCGTCCAGTATGCCCGTGCCATCGCTATCGGCGTCTGAGGGAGGAGGAAGAGCTCATCGAGAGCGTCGAGGAGCGTGATCTGCGACTCCAAAGCGATTACGCGGTCGTAGTACTCTAGGCCAAAGGCCATGAGCTTCGTGACGGTCTTGTCCCATACCCAGTCACCTGAGAACAGTCAGCCATGTGCTTGTAGAGTCTCGCTTCATGTGCCGGGCGAATGGGCACTTGCGCAACGCATACCTTCTGTACGGCCTGCTACCTCAAGCAGCCTGATAGGATGAAGCTTTGCCTTGTATACATCGCGCGCTAAGTTGAGTAGTTGACTGTCTCGGTCCTGAGCGCTGTCTACTTTTGTGTCCCAAAACTCCGGGTAGAAGAGGACGCGGTCTGCCTTGCTACCGAATCGAGCGAGCGCGTCCAGGACCATCACGGCGTGGCATAGTTGGGTGCTGTCGGTCGCGTACACGCTGTACGCATAATTCGACCAATTGACCCTGATAGTATCTCCAGTATGAGGTGTCGTCTTGCGCGATGGATAGAGGATCCAGCAGATAAGGAAGAAGCCGAGGAAGTAGTACGCGTGGCGGCGTCGCAGGCGGAACGAGGGAGATTTAGCTTCGTCTACGAACCGCGGCAGCTCATCTGATCGTCGCCGACGCATTGTACGGTTGGCGTTGACGTTCGACCGACATGTTCGAGCGATTGTGTTGGTTGTTCAGGTGTCAGGAAGCGACTGGTGACGCGGAATCGCGGAAGTGTAGTGCGGAACTCCGAACTTCCAGGCTGCGACGCATTACGGCCTTGCATTGACAACTTTATATACTAGAGTGCGCACTATGTCCCTCTAGGTGTAGAAATTAACGACGGGTATCTTTCAGAAAGGGAGGAACATGGCATATGTGTAAGATCTGTCAAAGGATTATCACAACACGCATGAGACCGTTTTGATTCGACAAGATGCATTGTATCATTGCCGTATGCCAGGGTCACTTTTTGTAGTATGGTATCAAACATCCCAAACGCCGCGGCTGTGCAAACTCCACCGGTCCCGGGACGGGTAACTCTGGGTGGGAGACGTTGTCCTCATTCAGCTATGTAGCACCCTCTATGGCATATATCGTTCCATCGTGATCGTGAACACTTCTTGGTGCAAACGCTTACTCCTCAGGAACTGCGCTCTGTTAGTGATTGATTTTCGCAAATTGCCAAGTATAACATACTCTCAATCTCGCCAGCCTTGATGTCATCAGAGACATCCTTGGGGCTGCGACCGTCAACCTTGCAGCCGGTGCTGAAGGCAGTTCCGAGGATCTCAAGAACGGTACCCTGGAGGGACTTGGCCATCGACTTGAAGCGCATGGTGCGGGCAATGCTGATGATCTCATCGAGGGGGACGCTCTTGGTGTGCTTGATGTTCTTCTCCTTCTTGCGGTCCCGGGGAGGCTCCTTGAGGGCCTTGATGACGAGGGAGGAAGCGGAGGGAACGACGGAAACGGCGGCTTGACGGTTTTGGATGGTCAACTTGACGGTGACACGGAGACCCTTCCAGTCACCTGTGGCCTTGGCGATATCTTCACCGACCTCTGCAGAACGAATTAGTATTTCCATCCATGTGCGCTGGTCGATGGGTTCGTGGCGTACTCTTAGGCGAGAGACCGAGGGGACCGATCTTGGGGGCGAGCGCGGATGAGGCACCGACTTCACCACCGGTCGCACGGAGGTGAATGACCTTCACCTCGGAGGGATCGAACTTGGGAGCTTTGAGGATGTAAGCGCATGGCGATTTCTAGGAAAGCCTGGCTGTTGAAGATGATTGAATTCTCTGAGTGTCAAGAAACACCCTCCATTGGGTGTCCTAGCCACTCAGAAACTTCGCGCATCTTCGTAAGAGCCGACCAGAAGGATGATACTCACGCATGGCTAGTGCTTGAGGTAGTCAATCGGTTCTGGTTGTAAAGAGAGACTGCCGTTAATTTTGTCGGTTCGAAAGTTCGTGAGAAACGGATTCTCGGTGGGGAGCAATATTGGTCGACCTGTGAGAGAAGCGAGCCTTGGCAGCACCTTCCCCAATGGGCGATAGCATCTTTGCGTGCATCTCGGGCATCTCGGGCAACGCCGCATTGCTTCACATCATATTCCACCACTACGTGAGTTGGTCTTCCAAATGCATGGAGAGAAAATCCCTATGTCAATATATGATCGCTCTCTTGCTTCAACATCACACGTCCAAAATAGTGACCAACACGCTTCACACAACGCCATCCACGATGCCAGAACAATGTGACAATGTGAAGATGCCCTCATCATGATTATATTCTGCAGTGACAAGACCTTCTTCTGATACAGGTCGTTCATGTTCCTCAACCCCTTCATATACCAAACGTCCACCAGCCAGCAGCACGAGCACAGCCGACAGCAGCACGACAGCACAAACACCATGTACTTCACCTGATTGGCAATCAGTATGCACGAATACAAGACCTGGTATCATATTTCCTTTCAAATAACAATAGTCTTCTTACTTCCTCGCAACTGTATCTATATCTAATTTCCACGGGAACGATAGCACAACACAGCAAACCATGGTCATACAACCTCCCTACAGAAACATACACAGACGCTGCGAGAAAGCAATTCGAATGACGGATCAGGTCGACTTCCTTGTATGTGTGATTCAAAATGACTTTATACCTCGTGGAAACATTCTAAACACCGTGGAATAGAATCGAGCCGAAAACGACAAGGGCACTTCGAAGAAGAAGGATGACGAAACACCAGCGCCTGAATGTATTCAGGGAGAGTCAAAACCCGACGCTACCAAGTCTTCGCCTGATGTCGATACCATAACCCTTAAATGGCCTCTACCCCCGTCCGCCATACACGACGGTCTCTTATTCAGGAAAGTTGGATAACACAATGGGACATGCTGAGTTGCCTTGATACACTGTTTTTATTTCGTTTCTCGCACGCGCAAGCATGCGACTTCTATAAGCCTATGAGGGTCCCGATTGAGGGAAATGTGTGCCATAAGAAAGGCTGGCGATATTGACTCTATGACCACCTGAAATGACAACTCGCTGGTAACGCCCATCAATATCACAGAGCCAATAGTTATGTCCGAAATACCTCGGTAGTGATTTTCTCCAGAGCGTAATTCTTTCTCCAACAAAACATCACGCACCTCGTCCTCTGGAGATGCCCAGTCCCTGAGCTGCGGGAGCATTCTTTTCCCTCTCACTCACGCTGCTCCTTCTCCCAGCGATAGCCGACACACTTTCGCTCCTTGAACTATCCATGCTCTGCCTCATGCTACTGGAGCTAGACCTGCGCCTAGCACGTCTCGCCTCGTCGGGATCATGGGGATTCAGCCCGCTTGCTCTTGCGAACAAATTCAGGATATCCGTGAGACTGATGACGCCACTTAGTCTGCCAGATAAGCTAGCCCCTGGCATAGCAGAGATTGCTGATGCAGAGATAGCTGGGGCAACCGCTCCGGTACTAGCGAGGTGGGTCGGCGCAGTGGAATTGACGGGTGTTGGGCCTGCCATCCCTGGTAGTGGTGTGATTGGCGAAGGAGGAACAACAATCGCAGGTGTTATCGCTGGAGTCGATGGCCCTGATGAGGCCGGAGACGGCGCATCCACGACCCACATGCGATGCGAGCGGGTTGCGACTAGCTTGGCCACAGTGTGTGCGAGGGTACTGAATGGGTTGACGTGGAACACGGGGAAGGAGTCCTTGCCGTCATTCACTCCCCGTTCGGACAAGATGACAGATATGAAGTGAATACAGGATGAGCGAAGCAGTGGGAGCGATGTGGATTTGGTCAAGAGCTATGAGCCAGCCGTTAGTCGCGTAATATGAAACTGACCAGAGGAGACTTACCCGAACATCCACATGGGATATGTTGCCGATAACGTTGTTTTGCGCGTCCAAGACTGGGAGTGACGACACGCCTTCGTTGTTCATGAGCTCCAGAGCCGCTGCAAGAGGCTTATCTCCACTAACATCCAGTCAGCTGTGTGATTTCTGCGAACCCGCGCTGTACTCACTTGATGGCTAGAACGGTCTTGGATCCAAGATTCAGGTCTTTGATCAGCTGTGGGTACAGCTGGTTTACGCCTGGGAAGCTCGATCGGTTCTCCCAGAAGAATTGCACCAGTCTTAGCTGGGTAAGTATGCCCTTGACGTTCGATGTGCCTTCTTCTGCGACCAACACTCTATGTACGCCGCTTCCGAAGACTTCTATGGCCTTGGACAGATCCGTTGTCTCGTCGAGAGTAATCAACGGCTCCTTCCTGCCACCAACCTCTTTTACGTCTTTGAGCGGTATGGGTTTTCCTTCTCTTCCTTTCTGCGCAAGCTCGTCGAACGAGGCGATGTCGCCTTCTTCGGGGTGCGCGAGGCCGACTACGAGGAGGAGGTACGCGTTCAGGTCGCTGTAATCGAAGGTCCCGGTCGCATGCCGTGTGTTGGCGTCTTCGCGCAGGAGGACGACATTAGGGGCGCCATGTTTGACTAGTATCTATGCAAATCAGCCCATGCGCATGAAGATAGCTGTATATAACCCACGCTCGTCGCATCCTCAACGCTGGTATCGTACTCGACGAACCTCACCAGGTCAGGATCGACAATCTCTCCCAGTCTGACAGTCTTCCAATCGCGTCCCTGGAACTTTGGATCACCACCCTTGGTTGGTGGGTTGTTGAGGAGGTCCTGTAGCGCTTGCTGTGTCAGTGAAGGCTGCCGTGACGCGCGTGGTGATGTGGGCGTTCCTCGCATGTGCTCCGCGAAGCTCGAACGGTGGGACGATGCCGGGCTGGGGCTGGAGCCCAATTTGAGCGCAGTCGGAGGTGTGCGGCCGATGGAAGATACCGAGCTATTGAGGGACGTGTCCTTGACGTCAATAGCCTCCGTGGTGTCGTGGTCTGCCATGGTGACGGCGGCTATGTTTTGGGGTATGCGGGGCTCCACACAAAGTGTTTATCGGAACGCGCGGGTGCGGAGGTACTTGTATGCGCTTGGTGGCTAGATGCTCTGAATGGTCCTGTCGCAAGGAGACGAGCAGTCGCGCGTCTTGCAGCTTCAAGTTGGGCTGAGTGGTGTTTGCGGCATGTGAAGTGCAACGAGGTGGGGAGGGCTTGCCTGCAGATGCAGAGCCCAGAAGATCGTCTCCTGCCTGGCCAGGGCACTTGGGCCGCAAGCTGCAGCCAAAATGCGGGGTGTGATTCGCTGCATACCATTACTATCAACCGTGTCGCCCAAGATTGCGCATCGACTGACACAGCCTTGCGGGGTTACAGACGCGTCCGCGAGTGACGGCGGCGGACGGGCGCTCCAAGCCATTCAATCGCGTGTGCGACGTCATACTGAAGTATAGAGAAACCGGGGAAGCACGCCAATCGCGCAAGGGGTCCAAGACTCTAAGCGTGGTCAATCATAATAGCATTGCATTCATAAAAAAAAACTCTTGTTCGCAGCCCTCGGGCTGGTTGATTTCCGCCCATACTAACATCCTGAACAATTGTCAAGGAATAGCCTTCCGTGATTTATCAGGTTTTGCCCAACGCCCGCCTCAAAGCATGACTCGAGTGAAACAAGAAACATTTCCCTAAGCGTCCTTCTGCTGCTCATGGTCCATGCCAGCATCTTTGTCAGCTTGACGCTGCGCCATGCGCTCGCGAATGGCGTCTCCAGACGTAGAGTCTCCATCACGACCACTGGCGGGGGGCGCATGGCTCGCTGTGTCGACGACGTTGTCATCGTAGGTCATGCCGTTCATCATGCGTGCTTCCTTCTTCTGTTGCTCCGTGCTGGACATGGTCTGCGTCGAACCAGAACTGACAGGCACGCTGACGCCGGACATTGGACTGGTCGGCGTCTGTTCTCGCAAGTAGCCCGGCAGAGCGCTTGCCTTTCCAACAGCAGGGCTGCCGAGTTGACTATGCTGCCGAGCTGGTGTGCGCGCACCCTCGCCGAAGCCAACAAGAGAGGCGGCTTCGTCACTGAAGCCTCCGATGCTTGATGTGTCCATGTCCTGGTCCTCGCTCATGCGGTCCGGCTCGTAGACATCGCTGCCACTTGCCCACGTCGTGCGACCGCCAACGGATCCGGTTGCGCTGGCACTGCCAACCGTGCTGCGCTCACGGAAGAGCTGCGGCTGGTTGTTTGCGTCAAAGTAGCCTGGCGGAGGATTGGCTGCGCTGCCTGGGTTGAGTCCTTGGGGAGTGCGGCCCGAGACTGCAACGCGCTCCAGACCGGCCAGGCGCGAGATGCGGTCGGCACGCTCAGCTTCAGCAGGGTTCCGGTGGTGGGGGAAGTGGCCGCGATGTCCGTCTTTGATGGCGACAGTCGAGAGCTCAGACATAGTCGTGGTGACCGAGTTCGGGGTACCTCTGTGTATACAGCGTCAGTCCGACTATTTCAATGAACCCCACCAAGCGCATGTGCCTTACGGAGCATCACCAGGCGTCTCGTCGCCAGACGGCGGAGGCGGCAGGTTGATCAAGGTGGGCGCGTTGGTTGCCATTGTAGATGTGTGGTCTGGATTGGTTCTTGCTATGTGCTGTGAGTGGTGGATGGCTCAGGAGAAGTACAGTAATGTTTTAGGAAGTCTGGTAACAAGGAGCCCGGACCCCGTGACGAATGACGTAGCCGACGGACTGGTAGCGCTTCGAGCAAAGCAAGGGCAAAGGGGCTGATCACGCCTTCTTGTAACAGATTGAATGTCTTTACGCGATCGACACTCAGCTTAGATATGTAGTTTAGACCGACTTGAGTCAACTTGAGAGATAGTCTCGCCGCCTCACTCTTGGGCCCCTTTGGCCGTTGGCTAGGCGTTTCTTGACGCAGGGTCTTCTTGCCCTAAAATTTACCGAGCCGCTGATTCGCTACCAGGGCAGCGGTTGCTTCACTATCGCCTCTTCACCTCGCTATCCAGCGAACTATCTAAGAAACGTGCTTCAATTCCGCTACCACGTTATGCATGCCCAGGTAATGAAACAGCTGCAATATCCTATATACACAGAGCCCCACCGCATTATGTCATACACTTTAACAACCCAACAATCTACATAACCGTACAATTGGTCGCGGGCTTGTCTGTATACTTGTACTTGTAATGGCTCTTGTGCCTCCTTCTCTTTCGCCTGCCATCGCAGTATCCATTGTAGTCGCTGGCATAGCCATCGTCGTAGGCACCAAATCCGTCGTCGTACATCATCGGTTCATGCATAACCATCCCTGAGCCGCCCATCATCGGTCCGTTCGTGATCATCGGAGCATGCGACATCATGCTTTGAGGGCCATAAGGGCCAGTGAGGCGGTGGTCATAGGTAAAGCCCTGATTCATGGGAATCATAGCACCAGACATGGGTCCAGAAGTGATCGCTGGGCCTCCCCACCCACCAGACATGAACGGCGCGCTGCCCCACTGACCCGGGATCGCGTAGTTGCCACCAACGTGGTTTCGAAGCATCTGGTTACAACCCCAAGGTCCTTGAACCATTTCAATCGTCTCTCGATCTGCAAATCCGCCGTTACAAATAGGACAGGTGTATGGCGGTGCAATTAGTGTCTGATAGGTTTGGCGGTTGGGGCAATTGAGGAGATCAGAAAGAAAGCCGCAAGGTTGGCTCATGGAGATCCAAGAATGACCGCATGTTGGCGAGTCGTATAGAGTGCAGCCGCACATGTCGGACGGACAGAGAAGTTGCACAAGGTGTAGGTCTCGGGTAGTCAGACGACACAGGTCGAGTGTCGATAGTCCACCACTCTCAGCAGGATACGATTAGGCCAAGAAGGGGTGTTGGTAGTTGCGATGGGCTGAAGAGGGCTTCAAATCGTGAAGCGAAGAGTCTTTGATGGAGTGCGATCATGGAGCGACAGACGTGGGCGTAGGGGATACTGGAGACTGATCTGATATTGCTGATATATATAGTACACCCTGGAGTGCGATGTGAAGTATGGAGGCTTTTCGTGTTTACGCATTCATCGTTGGGAGTGAAGTCTGCCACGTTTGCCCCTTGATCGTTGTTGGATTCCAGGTTGTGATTCACGCGTGGCGCGATCACTATTCTTTGGGATCCTTCTTGTCAAGCAAGTCAACCACACGCTTTTCTTCGGCATCGGCGTCCTCCTGAGCCTGGTTCTTGATTTGTTGCATGAGCTCGTACAGCTGACCAATTTGTTGATCTATGATCCAGTCAGTAGGCAACGTTTACACATGTTGGTAAACCTACCGCTCATCTTGTCAATCTTTGCTTTGTCCATCTTGGCTTCCTTCCATGAATCTCCTTCGAGCATTTGACAATATGTTTGCCATTCCGATAAAAATCCGATCTGTCCATGTCAGAAACTGTGATGCATAGCCACCACCCTGAATTGATCGCAACTCACTATTTGCACGGGGTTGTCGATGTCCCTGTGCGCTCTGAACTCGGCCTTGACGTACATGTCACCAAGTAGTCGCTCTTCCACGCCCAGCCTTTTCCTATGTGAGCGTAGCAGGCGACGGTAAAGCGGTATTGGCGGCAACAAGGCAGCAGGTGCTGGCCTAAAGGGTCTAGATGCTCCTGCATCTGTTGCTGTAGCTAGTAACCGCGTGTAGGCTCTCATACTGGCACAAAAATCCGATGAAGCTTCAAAATATTGCGACAGAGGAACTGTGGTGCATTCAAGAAGTGATGACCTCAGCCTCGGCTCTACTCTAGACTAGGGTGCTCCTTCCACTCCAATTGGCCCACACCGACACCTCCGATCTTGAACAAAATCGCAACCATGCTGCCAACACCATCAACAGCCCACGTCTGTTTTGATCGCGTGTACGAACCAGCCGAAGACTCATATCTGTTACTCGATACGCTCTCTTCTGCGTCGGAAACCGCATACCTGAAAGAGCGATTTGGCGATGCTTCAACGACCCCGCCATTGGTGCTTGAAGTGGGCGTAGGATCAGGCGTCGTATTAGCTTTCGTCGCTGCGAATGCAAGCACCATATTCAGTCGCCACGATGTGCTGACACTCGGGGTTGATATAAACAGCTTCGCCTGCAAAGCTGCTTCTCAAACAGTCCGCGATGCCATCAGAGAGCGGGAGAATGGACGCTCGGTCTTCATCGATGTCGTGAACGGCGACTTAGCAAGTGCTATCCGACCGCACTCTGTCGATGTCTTCATATTCAATCCACCATATGTCCCAGCTGAGTTGCCCGATCTGACGAGCCACGACAAGTACAACACTGTGCCGGAAGGAAAGACAGCGACGTCATTCGAACAGGATTCGTACCTTCTAGAGCTGTCGTACGCCGGAGGCGAGGATGGCATGGTGGTAACCGATAGAATGTTGGAGCAGCTACCGGAACTATTGAACTCGGATCGAGGTGTCGCATATGTGCTATTGTGCGCGCAGAACAAGCCGGAATCTGTCAAACAGCGGATAAGAGATTGGGGTCCGGGCTGGATGGCGGAGACGGTAGGATCGAGCGGAAAGAAGGCGGGTTGGGAAAAGTTGGTGATCGTAAGAATCTGGCGAGACACAGAGTGAGGAGGAAGCTGTGCCTGGCACCAAGAACGCGAGTGGACTTGGTTCAACTGAGGGTTGAAGCGTGGGCAGCGAACCTTGCGTCCCATCTTGACCAGAGTTGACCTTCGATCAGGATAGTGATTGTGGTGGGCCGACTTGACCACTCGATTTTGGTAGGGCAGGAGAGCGAGCGTCAGCCTTCGTTATTTTGGCGTCTTCTTGTCGTCCAGGTCAAGAGCCTTCGCGACGAGCAGCGATAGTTCGGTAGTGGTAACACGCTTAATCTCCCAGACGTTTGGCTTCCAGAAGAAGGCTTCGGTTTCGGTGCGTTCAACACAGTGATCAGCCTCAGCAGCTGTTGTTACTTTGCGCGTGGCCGTTGTTGTGATGGATGAGATACAGTGGAGATAATC